GGGAAGGAATGGGAGCGAGGGGGACAGCTGGCACCTGGGGCAGGGGGGTGCCAACCTCTGGAGCAACCCAGGGTCTGCAGAAAATAAACCCGGTGGCTTTCGGTTTTCTGTCATGTTCGTGGCATCGCTGGAAAGCATGGGGCTGGTCGGCAGAGGGGCAGATGTGATTTGGTGGTGTGAAAGGCAGAAATTGGGCAGGGGGGTGAGGGGAGCTGTGCCCTTTCTTGTAGGACACAGTGGCACCGTGTCCTCCCCAGCCTGCAGCACTGCTGGCACCCCCAAACTCGCTACCGCGTCCAAAGGCACGTTCCTGTGTCCCACCGGGCAGCCCAGCCCAGCACTGCTGCCACCCTGCACCATCTGCCGATGCCCCTGCCAGCCCCGGGGTGGGCAGAGGGCTGTCAGCAGCCCAGAGAACGCGACTGCCATCCCTCCCCATCCATCCTGCTGCTTCCCACCGAGCCGCCAAATAAATCCTTCGGCGCAGCGAACTGAATCTTTGCATCTCGTCCGCGAGATGTTCGGCGTTCCGAACATCATTTTTGTTCAGGAAAGGAAACGTAAGATGAAAGAGCTGAGGGTTTCTGCACAGAACGATTTGTGGCAGGACGGTTGTAGCCGGGTTTCTTGCCGAGAGCTGAGCTTCTCGCTCCCGGCGTGATGCTGCCCTGCAACTCTTTCTGACTTTGGCTGCGGTTGAGACAAGAGCAGGAAAGGGAAATTTGAGGGTTCGTTGAGTGTTGCAGCCGTTTGCCTGCCCACGCGAAGAGCCCGAGTCTGCTCCGAGCCCTGCCGCGACGGGTGCAGAGCTGGAACCGGTAGGATTTTCCTTATGGCCACGATGTCGCGGAGTTCGCAGGCACGAGGCCAATTTCTGACGGGAAATGGGGCAACTGGGCTTTGCAAAGCGCACCCGCATCTCGCCCTGGGGCTGGGCTGGTGCTCGGTGCAGGAGCCGAATCCAGGTCAGCTCCATGACCAAGAGCTAAGGACATGCAGATCTCTTCAAATTATCAGCTACATTATTTTCCTGCCTTTTAATAGAGAAAAAAAAAATAAAATTCCCGGCAGTGCTCGAAACCCGACGCTGCAGCGGGGTGCTCCAGGGTGCTGGGTCCTCCGGAGGTGAAGCTGCTGACCATGATGGAGAAGAGTAAGAACATGGTCCTGTGCTGACAGAGCACTTGTTTTTATAGTGATTTTGCTTTTTAATATTCCAAAGTATTTCTGCTAAGAGGACCCCAGCTCTTGGTGGGCCATGAGCTTCTTCCTTGGGCCGGGCTATCTGCGCTCTGCCCCCGGCGTGCCAGGCTCAGAGCCACGGCGGTTCCCATGGGATGGGATGGGGCAGGCACTAATTAAAGATTAGAGAACTTCATCTGCTGGATTTCTTTTGCCTGTGTCTACAGTTGGGAGTAAAGAACCTGTTAGCTCAGACTCTTGATATTTTGGCTCTAAATGAGCGCGGGGTGGGGGGTGACGGTACCCGGCCATCGGTGCCACCGATGGCTCGTGCCGCCAGCAGAGCCATGCTCTGGCCATCGGTGCCCATCAGCCTGGCAGCTCCTCGTTACACATCTGTGGTTGTTAGAAAAGCACATCTGCTTCAGGGCGGTGATGCACTGGAGGGGAAGGTGCTGTGTTCTGGTGGTCACTGGGGGGCACAGCCAGGCTGACACCCCATTCTAGAGAGGGCAGTTCACTACACAGAGAGGTATTTTCCTTCCCCAATATTTTCTGACTCATCTTCATCTGCAGTGCCCGGGTCGCTTCTTTTTGCTGCCTTTTTTTTTTTTTTTTTCAGCTAGAGGAAAAATAGTCAAGGTTTCTGGTTTTGTTTTTGAGGACACAGATTTATCTGTAATTCCGCCTATTTTTAGTGACGTAAATATCTTTTGGCGCTGGCGATGACTTGAGCCAGCAGAAGCGATTCATTTCAAGAGTGTCTTGTTTCAGAGGAGCTCAGAGCAGCTCGGTAAGTGTTTGCCGTAACATTTATCGGCTCCGAGTGGATGAGCTGCTTCAGAACAAAACCGAAATGAGAAGAGCCCCTTTCTCTGATGGCAAATCTTGCTCCGAGTTTTGCTGAAGAGAAAACAACAAAAGCCTTCTCCAGCTGTGGGGGGTGAAACCCCCGACTCTCATCGCGAAGCCAAGGTTGCCAGAATTGGAAGTGTGTTGTGTCAGCCGAGGTTCAGCCTTGGACTGTCCCTGAAGCAATAAATATTGGATTGAAGTCCTGTTGCGCTCTCTGCTCCAGAGAGGTGTTATGACAAATCCACTTGCTTTTTTGCTTTTCTCTTTTGTTTTTTAAGGAAAGGCAAAAAAAAAAAAAAAGAAAAAAAACAAACTACCAACCCCAACCTACAGCTTTCAAGGGAGAAATCCTCTTTAAAAGTTGCTGCAACTTAACAAAACGCTAAATGCTTTTATTAACTACTAGAAAGGCTCTGAAGAGCTGCTTTCCTTCCCAGTTGAAAAGCACTCATCGGAGCGGCCCGGCTTTGTTCCCTCCGTGCCAGCACAGGCTGGTAATTGCAGAGTAGAAATTCCTCTCCGAAGTGTGCCGTGACGAAAGAATAGAAAAACAGAAGGGGGAAAAAAAAACCCAACACCTTGGGGGAAGGTAAAGGAGCTGCTCCATGTGTTTTGGAGGTAGGAGTGGTTCTTCTCTGCCTTCAACCCACCTCATCCCACTCCTGCGGGCAAAAAACCAACGTGGGCACCTGCACTGAGTCCTTGTTTGATGGGTGGGTTAATTGCAGCAGGAGGAGGGCAAAGGGGAAATTCAAGCAGCAGAACTTTGGCTCTTTGTTGGAGAATGAGGAATACGCTGCGTTTTAGTGGTTAAAGCTCCCAGGTCGGGCTGGCAAGGCTGGCACCGGAGGAAAGGCTGAGCCTGCCCTCCTCGCAGAGACCCGGAGGCAGCCTGGCAGCGGCTGCCCGCAACAGGAATCGCCGGGTTTATTCCTGGTGCGAGCAGGGAGGCAGCACCGTCCCTCGGGGACTTGGTGTCTCCTGGTCAAGGAGGGGGTGACGGTGCTGCCCCAGCCCCAGCAAGGTTTGGGGTTGGCAGAGCAACACATCCTGGAGGCCTTGCTAGAGAGAAGCGGCTCTTCCAAAGACGTTATTGTCAACGGCGCTGGGTTTCTTCCAGTAAAAATAGGATGGCAGACTGCCCAAGCTAGGCTGAAGCTGGAGGAACAAGGAGAAAGTCACTCATGTAACAGGGGCAGGCAAACCAGGGCTCTGCACACCCCTTTTTGGCAGCTGCAGGAACATGGACCAGTCCTGAAAAGGATGATTTTGTTATTTTTATCCCCCATCCCTTTTAGTTTGAGATCTGGAGTGCCTTCCTCTAATTTTGCTGCCCTGATGGTGTGAAGCCAGACTGTGTCTCCAGTTTTCATTAGCTCTGCTGCCTTTTCGTCTTCTCAATGGCTTTGGGATTCCCCTGCCCCATGTCCACCAGAGCAGAGCCATCCTCAGGCTTCTGGTGAAGAATGAAGTGAAGGGGTGGATGTTGCCGGGTGCGTGCAAGAGGAACCGAGGCAGTATGGCACAGATGTCCTTTGTATCTGTGCTTTTCCTACCTGACTGTTCTAGAGCCACGACTTGTTGCTGTCAAAATTAAGGAGGAATTTCTCTTGGGGGCTAGAACCAGGGATGGATCTGTTGCTGGATGCTCCATTGGGAAGTGGCAGAGGACAGGGCTGGAGAGCTCGGGGGAGCCGGCGCCTGGGTGCGAACCGTCTCGGTGGTGGTTTGGCACGTCCTCGTGCCACGCGTTAGCGCGGTGGAGGAAACGCCCCTATTAATGCTCCGGTGTTAAACGACAGGGAATGTCCCAAACTGAGGTTTCTTTAGAAAGGTGCAGAAAACCTCGCTAACCCCATCAGCAGGCTGAAGAGGCTGCCCGGCGCGGTGAGCTTGCAGAGGCTTTATTAATAAACCTCCTTTGCGAGGAATGTCCTAGCTTGGGAAGGACTAAGACCATCGTTAACACTGTCTCGTCAGGCAAACTGGGGCTGTTTCACAGCGAGGGGTGTCATTAATACAGTGTATTAATAACCCGGCCAAGGAATGCCCTGATCCAGTTGGTTTGACGAGGCTGCCACGTTAACTTGATAGCCCTTCTCGATCATTCCCCTCTGTTTCTTTTGCCCCCAAGTCTAAATTGCGTCTTTTCTGGACTCTGCATTTCAGGCTGGGGCTCCCTGCCAGCCCCTGAGCACCTAAAGATCTCGCCCACCCGGCTGTGCCCCTGATGCCCGGCCCCGGCTGTGGCACAGGATGCTGGCACAGATGGTGGCTTTGCGGTGGCTTGTCCGTCCCCCTTTCTCACGCTCCCCAACACCCTCTATTTTGCAGACTCCGTTGGTGAAAACGCAGAGTGAGGGTTACCCGGTCCAGCACAGCATGTCTCAAACCCCGCATCAAATCCCCCTTCGCCGCTACTAACGGGGAGCCAGACCCCTTCGCCCAGCACCATGGTGGGGCAGAGCCCGCTGGACCCTGGTGAGAGCAGGACCGCCGTCCTCCTGGAGCCCTTCGTCCATCAGGTGGGCGGCCACATGAGCATGATGAAGTACGACGAGCACACGGTCTGCAAGCCCCTGGTCTCGCAGGAGCTGAGCTTCTACGAGTCGCTGCCCTTGGCCATGAGGCAGTTCACGCCCCAGTACAAAGGTAAGGAGAGAGGCTGGGGAAGGAGCTGAGGGACAGTGTTGTCACTGGGATTGGTCCTGAGGTTGGGATAAGTGCTGGTGGGGCGGCAGTGGGAGGTACCAGCTGGCTCGGTCTGGGCTGGCTCTGAGCTGTGGAGCTCCATCACTTGGGCAGGTTTTGCTGAACGAGGATGCTTCCCGGGTGAGGGTGTCCACAGGAGCAGGTCTGGGGGACTGGGAGGGTTCCCTGGGGGGAATCTGTGTGGCTAATAAGGGTTGAGTGCTGGCTGATGGCACCAGGAGATCCTCCCCTCTGCCCATCCCCTTGCTGCCGTGGTCGGTGACACAGGGACTCTCGTTGTGTCAAACAGAGCTGAAATTGGTCTGTTCTTGGGGGGACAGGCATGAGGAGATGGAGGCTGGGAGTGTGAACACAGTGTCCTCCGGGGGAGCCGGGAGCGTGGGCAGTGTCAGAGTGGGACAGAGAGGGTAAACACAGAAAAAAACACAGAAGAAGGGGCAGGTATAGGATGGGGCTTCCCAACAAGGTTTGCTTTGAGGATTTTGAGGGTCATGGCCCCAGAGATGTTGGTCTGATGGTGTGTGAATGGTGGCACTGAATAGGTGCAGGAAAGCAGGGACTAGGAGGGTCTTGTTCAAAACAGGATTCCCAAGCTCTGATGCATTATGTGCTCTGTTCAGGCGAGCTTTGCACTAGCAGCCCCTGCTAAGAAAGGTTTTCTGTACCAGGAGCAGAGCTCAGGGTGCCTTTGCCCCCACATGCACGGCCCCAGTGCTCCAGGCCTTGGTTTTAGAGGAGGAGAAGGTTTGTGTCGGAGGCAGAGGGGTCAGCGAAGGCAAGGAAAGGGTCAGGGTTGGCACTAGCACAAGCTGGGGGAGACATGGTCCTTGGGGCCAGTGTGAAATACTGAGCGTGAAAAAACAGCCCAGGGATGGATCGAGCATCACCTTTGCTGGGTGCTTCGCCTTCGCCAAGCCCTGCTCCCCCCTGCGCTCTGGTCCCTGGAAAAGCAGAGGCACAGACCCCTGGACTTCTTAAAAATCCCATCCAGGCAGCCGTTGCACCGCAAGCCAGACCTTCCCAGGCTGGGGCAGAGCCTCCCACCTGCCCCTCCCTGTGGGGACCCCATCACTGCCCAGTCCCCCCTTTCAGTCTCCCTGTCCCTAACTCTCCGTGCCCTGAACCACCTTCCCAGCTGAATTTCTCAGCTCAGCTCTCAAAAATCAGCACTTGGTGTCTGGCAGGGGGTCCCAGCATTTTTTTTAAAGCCATCCTTCCTCCTTCTCTTGTTCCCTCAATATTTCTGCTTTTACTGCCAGACTTGTGCTGCTCATAAAGCTCCTGACCCTGGAGTTTTGCGAGAGGAGAGAATCTCAGCTGTCGCATAAAAACTTAAAAATATCTTTTGGTCCTTCAGCGTTACAGAAGAGAACTCAAAGTGTCAGCCATGGTTTCGATGCGCTTCCAATCCAATCTCTCCCTTTCCCAGAAAGTCAGGGGCCTTCACAGATTTACGGGACAATATTAAAAAGATGCTTAAGAAAGAAAACAAGTCTTCCTCTCAGCAATTTTCTTTAGCCAGGGCCAGGGTTCGGTGCTGGAGATCTGGGCCCTGCTCTGTCTCTCTAATAAAGATATTAAGCAGTCGAAGCTTATCAGTTCAGGGGTGGCCCAGTTATTAATACTTTTTTTGTCTTCTTTTTCTCTTTTATTGCAAGTCCCAGTGAGTTTTGCGACGAGGGGTAATTAAATAGCAATTTTTCTCCAATTTGGCACTGGGAGCACATTTTTTTTTTTTTCCTGCTTGTAACTGTCCCAGCCCTGAATGCCAGGCGAGTTAAAGAGGTGGAACATTTTCCCATGAGGGTGATGGGAGGAGGGTGAGCATCAGGGGGAATAATCCTGAGGTCTTCATCGCCCGTTCATACGTGTCTGTGTTCCTCATCGCTATTTTTAGGCTGGGGGGGGACGGGCGGACGACAGCTCGGGGACCATTATGTAATGGTGACATTATGTGCAACGTTGATCGAATGTCATCATTCAAATCTAACACCGAGTCGGATGCTTAAAAAAATTCCCACCGCTCGCTTAACCATTGCAGGCAGGTTGGTGACCTTGGGACCAGCTTTGCCCCCCACCATCCCCTTGCAAACCTCTGCCTGCCCCGAGCTGAGCTTCCAAGGGGACACCGGACTTATTTTCCAGCCCAGCTCTGCTCAGATTCCTATTGCAGGCAACAGCAAATAAATGCACTTGTAAATTTAAAAATAAATCCATGAGGGTAGAGCTACATAGCAGAGCACTCCTGAGGGTCACCGGGATGCCACTAGCATGGTGACAGCACCCATAAATACCCGCTGGCTGCCTCGCCGGCTCGGGACGGGAGGGGGATTGTGGTTTTGGGGACACTGAAAGGCCAGCAAAGACAAGTACCTAAATTCATGTTTGCTCCTAGATAGATGTTTTCTTGTTGCAATAAAAGAGAAGGTCGGTAGCCATCTGTTACAGATTTGTTTCGCCCAGGTAGGTCACTTGCAGGACGTATGCAAAACCCGTAAAGAAGGATACCAGGAAACAAAAGTATTTTTCAGGCTGAGACGTAGGTTTTTGAAGGCAGAATTTTCAGCTGGAAGGAGTTGAGAGGATCACGTTCCCTGGCAATTTGACTGCTCATTCTTGCCTTTGAAAATCTCCCCATTAATTTTCATATTAATGTAAGATACTTAAGAACTCTTAGTTTCACGCTATATATAATGTTTTTAGGGCCAGATTGTCAGCACTATGCAAATCAGCACAGCTCCATTGACTTGCAGATCTGTAATTGGGGCAGTTTTTAAGGTTACAGGCTGCTGTAGTGCTGTAACTGAGGCAGAGCGCTAGATTTGGAATCGAGGACTCTGTTCGCCTTGCAGTGACTTTTTTTATTTAAAAAAAAAGACTTTGATATAGGCAAAAGGCAAGCTGGCTTTTTTTCCTGCCCACCTCCCCTGAAAATTCAAAGCAGGCATGCAAACCAACAGGAATTTTGCTTGCTCTCAGTTATCTGTAATACGGAATTTTTTCCGAATGGGACTCAGCGAAAGATCAGGTGGAGGAAGGCAGAGCTCCCTGTGCTCACCATCACCATCAGCAAAGGACTGAGAGCTAAAACTGCTACTTACCCCCTAAGGAAGGTTTCCAGCCCCCCAGCTCCCTTGGCAGAGCAGCCTGTGCATATTCCTCCCCCATTTCAGTGCAAAATTAGCTGATTTAACCGAGCTGGTTGGATTAACGTTGATTTTACAGGGAACAGGAATGGTTGTGGTCTCGGAGCAGAAGGGGTGTAGGGGGGCAGGAGGGAAGTGCATCCGAATACAGCTGAAGCTGCAGGGTTATGGGGTGCCAGAGGGGTGGGGTGGGCACCCCGAGTCTGACGGAGGTGGCTGGTGGGTGCAGACACTGGGGGCTCCTCCAAAATCCTCCCTCGGTCAGCGGCGCGCAGCAGGCAGGACGCAGCACACGCTGAGCCCGCACATCCTTGCGTCTGCGTTTTCTCGCTCTAACCTCACTTGAAACAGAGAGGAGGGAGTTTGCATGGTTATTTGCTCTGGCAAATTCCCTTGGAGAACAGAGCTCCCTTGTTTGTTGAGCTGCCGAAACGCATCTCCCCGCAGTGCCCAAGTGCGGACACCCTGGGGACAGTTGGATAAAACCCAGCTCCACATGTTGCTAACGGGGCAGCATGGTTATTTGCTCTGGCAAATTCCCTTGGGAGAACAGAGCTCCCTTGTTTGCTGAGCTGCCGAAACGCATCTCCCCACAGTGCGGACACTGGGGACAGTTGGATAAAACCCAGCTCCACGTGTTGCTAACGGGGCGGGGGGGGTCTTTCCAGTGATGAGTTTTGCTGGTCCAACAGCCTTGACTGGCCGTTTTT